ACATCGAAATTGTTGCCTGAAAGAATGAAACAAAAATGAAATAACTCCCTGGAATGAATGAAATGAAAATTCCATGGCAATGAATGAATGAAAAAAATGAAACAGTTGCCAGGAATGAATGAAACGAAAGAATAAAGCAAAAAATGAAACAGTTGCCATGGTGGAATGAAATTAAAAAAATGAAAGAGTCGCCAGGCATGAATGAAACAGAATAAATTTCATTCTTGTCAGTAGAAATGAAGAAAAAATTGAGATGAAATGAAATGAAACAAAAAGTATTTCATTCTCGACGGCAATGAATGAGAATGACTTGGAATGAAACAGGTGCCGTGAATGAATGAAAATTCATTTCATTTCATTCACGGTAGTTAAGCAGGAACTTCTATGGTACATGCCAGGTTTTACATGATGTAAATGGCAGCTACTAGTGCTCCATCGATCTCGTGTGCTTGCGAGTTGGTGACGTGGCGCTGCCGCGTCGTTCCTGTGATGTCGGGGTGGTTGTGGTTGGTCCGTGACGACGTTGTGGTCATCGTCTCGTCGACTTTTGTGGGTGCTGATCGTCGTGATTGAGGTCGTCGACGCGTGGTGGGGGGTTGCGTGACGCATGGCGGCGACGTGGTGGTAAGGTGGAGTAGTTGGCGTTGGTTGTCGGTTGAAGCGAGAAGGAACGTCACCAAGTCACACTGTGTGACGTTGGTATCAACATGCATAGGATCACGCTCACGCCCAAATTTGAAATTTTGTAGTGTCCCCCTGTTCATTTCAAACTTTGTAGAGTGGGACTACAAAGATTTGTAGTGTCCGCATTTTTCATAACAAAACTTTGTACTGTTCATATTGGATTTGGGACTACAACAATGCAGTGTCTACTGGTAAGTATGTTGCAGTGTCCTTGACTCTGAGTAGGTACATGGGTTTATAATTCAATGCTTCACAGGAGTTAACTTTAGCTACATAGCCCAACATCATCAAGTCTTTACCCTCCATATAATTATGGTCAAGAGTCAAGACTGACTATGAGAAAGGAGTAGATGGTGATCATGTAGTAGAAAGAGAGGCCACCTTACTCTGAGATGTCAGAGAATTTACACCCTTAAAAGAGATGATGTCAAGACTCACTATGGGCAAGGGGTAGATATCCAAGTCATTCTTGACCATACTTTAATGGAGAATCAATGATAGAGGGCTAGTCAACTGCTTTGAAACATTGAACCATATCCCCCCATAAAACTATGGTCAAGACTGACTATGAGAAAGGAATAGATAGTGATCATGAATCAGAAAGAGAGGCCACCTTACTCTGGGATGTCAGATAATTCAAACCCTTCAAAGATATGATGGAAAGACTCATTATGGACAAGGGGTAGATATCCAGGTCATTCTTGACCATACTTTGATGGAGGGTACAAAGAATCAATATGATAGAGGGCTAAGTATGTGGCTAAAGTCAACTGCTTTGAAACATTGAACCATATCCCATGTACCTACTCAAATTTAACGACACTACAAGATACTAGTACATACTTTTGTTGTCTCAAAAAGCAGACATACAAATTTTTGTAGTCCCAAGATGTGGAGAGTATAAACTGTTGTAGTCACAAAAAGCTGATACTACAAATTTTTGTAATGAAAAAGCGGATATTACAAACTTTTACAATGAAAAAATAGACTGTGGATTTTGTAGTCCCATTAAGTGAACACTACAAAGTTTTGTTATGAGAAATGAACACCACAAATATTTTGTACTCCCAAAATGCAGACCCTACAAAGTTTTATATTGAAAAGGAGGACACTACACACTACAAAATTCTAATAAACACAACAAATTCACGCGTGAGTGGGAACAAGGCTTCCTCATGAAGTTGGGATTTGGGCGTGAGCGTGCGCGAGTTTGAACGTTGATGCCAACGTCACAATCTGTGACATGGCTTCCTTCTTCAACCCACAACCACCACGTCAACATTCACAACAGCGACACACCGCCCCACCACCACTTCGGCACCAACCCCCACCACTGCAATGAACGACGGCCGCCCTACCAAACAAGTGCAACCGCCCAACAAAAGAATGCCACCGCCAAACAAGTCGACCCCCACACGCCACAAACAACGACGAGCGCCCAACAACTCGACACCCACACGCAACCAACAAACACCGATCAGCGCCCAACAAACGATTACGACCGCCTAACAACGACAACAGCCACAAGCAACACCAAGACCAAGTGGCGAACGATGACCAGCGCCCACGAAAAACCACGACCAGCCCACGCCACGGTCCCAGGGCCATGACCGACCCCAGGAGCAAGCCGGGCCAGGTTGCCGTCAGCGACGTGGCCACTATGCGTTGCAGATGGACGGACGACGACGACGACGACAATTACGTCGTCGTCGTCATTCTATGTCAACCACGGTAAACGGTAAGCCCCCCCCAGTTCAAAACATCTCTAACAAAGGACCTCCATCGTCCAGCCCTTGAAGGAAAGCACCCCACGTCACCACGCCACCCCTTCCCAAAGGGAGGGGTATGCCGCCCGTCAACGGCCACGTCACGACGCGAAACGACGCCAGGCGGGACAGACGTCAATCAACGGTGTGACGAGGACACCGAAGGGCGACAGATGGACGACGACGATGGCAAGCAGACTA